ATTATAAATTATACCAATCAGATATAATAATAAAACTAAAATACAGATATCAAGTATAATCAGGGTTTCGTTCATTGCTTTGAAATCTTTCACAGCAACTGCATTTTAAAGATAAAAATTTCAAACAGTAGCACCGATAACTGGCTATATTCCAGGCAAAGTAGAAGATAATAATTTTATGCCTCTTAAAATGGCTGGCCGCACTTATGATAAACGCTTTGTTAATTTAACAGTCTTATTGGAATAGAAATACAGTGTGTTTATAGAGTTCCGGACCCATTTTGATGTTTAATAACTCATAAAATAATAAAGATAGATTAAAATTAATAACACAAATGGTTAGATAGACTCAAAAAGTTTCATGACCCTTGTCAATGAATTTCCATGTGTGCCCCCTTCGTCGCACGGAGAATATCAAGTCGATATTCAATTTCACGCCAGGTACCGGCAGGCATGTCGGCATCCACAGAGGTTATTGCGGTTGTAATTCTGGCTTTTAGGTCATCCATGTTCGACACTCTCCTCCTGTAAACGTTGTACTTTACAAATCCCCAAAGGAAAAAGTCCAGCGGCGTTATATCAGGTGATCTGGGTGGCCAAGGAATTGGACCTCCTCGCCCAATCCATCGTCTTGTAAAATGGTTATTCAAATAACTACGAACGATGGTACCCCAATGAGATGGTGCACCGTCTTGTTGCAAAAAGACATGTGGCTGAAGATCTTCTAGTTGTGGAAATACGAAGTTTTCTAACATGTCTAAATATACGACTGATGAGACCGCAATTATCTGTAAAAAAGAAAGACCCAATGACTCGGTCGTGCATTAATTAGTCCACACCACACATTAACCTTTGGGGAATCTCTTTGTGCTTTACGGTATTCATGGGGGTTTTCAGATCCCCATATGCTCACATTATGGCGATTAACAATGCCAGAAATATGAAGGGATGCTTCGTCGGAGAACAGAAATTCAGCATCATCTTCTATCCTCCTTAACATATCTGCTGCAAAGGCCATCCTCCTAGGCCTATCGTCCGGTTCCAAAACTTGAACAATTTGAACTTTGTATGCATGCAGTCTTAATTTTTTCATAATAACCTTGTACACTGTCGAAATTCGCATATCCAATTCTTTTTCGCTGATCTCACAGATCTTCTAGGATTGTGTAAAAATGTCTCTCTGACACGCTCAACATCAAAATCACTTGTGCAGGGACGTCCGGAACGTTTCTTATCTGCGATACTTCCAGTTTCTAGAAAATTCCTTTTCCACTGCAAGATGCTGCTTTTGGATGGAGGATCTTTTTGGTAAATTCTTCTGTAATTTCTCTGTGTTTGCATTATGCATTTCGTTTCTAAGAACCACCATAAAATCTGTGCTTTCTCTTGTGGTCTATGCATTCTCCTTAATATCCGGTCGAATAAAACATCACATACAAAAGTACTAGAACAAACACATCAAAAGTAAACATAACATTGCAATAGTTGCCAAAAACAAAGAGAGTGCGAACAAAGTGCGAAGAACATGATATTTAATTAATAAAAGTAACATACAAAATGTTAAAAAAACGCCTCTTTGGAAGTAATTTAAAATCTGAAATCTTTCACATTTTTTTTTTTTTTTTCTTCTTTCATTTTAAATTTATCAAATAAGCTAAAAGTATTTCTTAAACTGATATGAGAAAAGCTATGATTTTTTTAGAAAGTGTTTAGAATTTTTGAAGTATCGAAGATTAAAGCTGGTTCAAGGCTGCAAAAATGTAATCCATGATAATAATAAATAGGAAGATACTATTAACGAAGTGCTTCAAAATCTAAAACTGAACGGGTGTTCACATTGTAAGGATTTATTTATGTTTATCTAACCATGCATTTTATGTTAAGTAGCTTTACTGTCATTCTCTCTTTCAGCTTTTCTACCAGAATGCCAAGTTATTGTTCGCGTGTACTCAATTGAGGTAGTATTTAAAAGAAGATTTAGATTGTTTAGTCAAAGCGTGTTCCGCCTACTGAAGGCCAAGTTCCTAGTTGCAGGTCTTCCATAGCAATTTGTCTTCGGCGTTGTTTTATTCTTGCTAATAGCGCTTGTCACACCGGTATAGGTTTGATTCAACTTGTGCGTTATTCATTTGCTGCGTAGCGTTTGGCTAACTTACCACTTAGTTTTAAATTTGAATTCCTTATCTTTTGAGTTACATCATAAATGCTGGCTGGTTTGTAAGCACTAGATGTGCGGTCTGTTAAATTATTTTGAGTTCTGAATAAAAGAGTCATTTACATTCTTCTTTAGTTCAAATCGTCAAGTGAAGCCGGACGAAGAAAAAAACGGTAAAGGCCAGGGAAATGGATTTTACCCGACTATGACGTTCTTGATACAGCGACTTGAGAGTAACGAACTATCTAGCAATTATCGAATACTATCCAGTAGCGAAGACCAGCAACAAGTGTGGCCATCTTGGCAAGTTGTTGGTACATTATAGCCGGTATTTGGAGTTAGATTACGGCAAAGGTCACTAGGACTAACTGCCTAAAAGAGATAGATGTATTGATGGAGGATTTTTTTAAAGAAAGTGGCATATTTACATGAGGGAAAAACTACGAAAATATTCATGCCATTTCTATGTTAGCCAGTTCGCTTGGATTTGAGTCCAGTATGAAGTATTTATACTCAGCGGTCTTAATGCTTAAACAGTGAGGGGTTTCTCTATTTAAGAAGAATAACCTGAAAAATGTAAAGATCGTAGCATAACTTTTCTATAGGAAAGTTGAATATAAATTTTATTTTAATTAAGCAGTAAATTGTTATATATAGTTCATTTAAAACATTCCGATTCATTTACATTTCCGGTAACGAAGTTATATTTTTACAGGAACCTTTTTTATTATTTACGCGCGTTTCAATCGTCTGCTTGTGCTGTTCAATCGTCTGCAATCATCTGCGTTAAGTTATGAAAATTCATATTTTAATTGACACAAATAGTTGACAATTCGGTGCATATAAAGATGGTATCGGTATACCAAAATGTTTAATTCCATTTCGTTGTTTACACTTAATAGTCAACACAAAGTTATTTTTCTAATCTAAGTAGGTTAAACCTTTTTAAAAAATTCTCTAATAAGAACTACGATATTTTGTGCACTAAACGAAGGAGGAAAAAAAATTGTTAGTTATTACATATTATTTTTTAAATTTTATTATTTATTATAATTTTTAATGCTTAAACAGCTTCATATTTAATTTACAGTCACCGATAATTTCTAAAAATATATATCTAAATTACACCCTTAAATTCTAAATTTACATTTAGAAATTAAAATTAAAAGCTAAAAACTTATTCATTCTCAAAGTTTACAAAAAAAAAAAAAAAAAAAAAAAAAAAAAAAAAAATTTGAATACCTATTATAAAATGTCTTCCAAAAGAACATAAATTTTACAATTTTTTTACTGTAGTAATAAATCTGTATTTCTATAATTTATTTCGCACGCTTATTCTCATTTATGATTGTATCTTAAGTTAAATACATTTTCTTAAACTATTACCCCGAAAGAGGCGCTAGCCTAAATAGGCTATTATACTTTAGAAACGGGATTTCATGTTGAATTACAATAAAAGGTTGTATCATTTTTCAAATTGTTGCCCCCAAATATTATCGCCCTAATGAAGAATCTGCATGACTGCATGTATGTTTCTCACATTGTGAAAAAACGACAGTACCTAGAGCCATCAAATTTTGAATAAAGTAGTCCTCCATCCGAACCTTGAAGCACGAATTTTGAATTTCGAACTTGTTTTATTATCTACTTCATATTTTGTAAAACTTTAATGAACTTTTGATTAACAAACTCAATGATTTCAAAGCGAACATTAGCAACACTGTACGGAATGAAACATTTTTATCTCCAGCACAAGAGACTGTCTATCGGAAATCCTTAACATATGCTATTTTTAATAGAATTGTGGCCTAAGTGCGGTGACCATGATATTTAATAAATAAAATTAATACACAAAAGGTTAATAATAAAGAGTCAAAAAGACTTTTTTCTTTTGAAGCCATGTTACTAAGAAAGCTAAACATTGATGTGATAAACTGAGAAAAGACTGAAAAACATATTTAACACTGCATCGGGAACTCTAAACATATGATGCTTTTAATATTTTTGTAATTTTGCTGTTGAACTGTGTATGACGTAAGGGCGAAGAAAAATCCCTTTTATCGACCGTTAAAATCGGAAACCTTTCAGATTTTTTTTTTTTTTTTTTTTTTTTTAAGATTTATACTTTAATTTAAAAATATACAGTTTTCATTGTACAAAATAATTTTGATTCTATACACTGTTGTATAGTTTAGATCTCCCTAAAATAAAATTTACATCTGTATCTACAGATCACAAATCTATAATTTTATTGGTGCTAAAGTTAATTTTTTAATATATTTTTCAATTTTTTAAACGGAAAATTATGATACAGATTTCTAAAATAAATGGAAAAGTAGCGCGCTTTAATGAAATGCTTTTTGCTTTTTCTTTATGCTTTTTTATTACATTAAATATAATTATTGATAATGACGTACTTCACGTTTCAAAAATTTTCATTGATAAAGGCGCAAATATTTTTTGATAAATTTAATTCCATTCGTTTCTTAAATTCTATGTATAAATTTTTAATATGGAACTTAATTTTAATATGTAAGTTTTTAATGTGTAACTTTTTGATATGTAACATGAAGTACGTCATTAGCAATAATTATGTGGTAATAAAAAATATAAAATCAAAATTCAGATACATTTCCTCTGCAAAAAGTTATGCAATATTATTATGTAATTCTCTGAAATATTTACTGTTCTGGTGTTAAAATGCGCACTTATTTTAATACTTACTGGTCTCCCATTACTGTAGAGAGAAACTGCTTTTAAAACGGGCGCCAAAATTGTCGCCAAGTTCTTTTATGGCAACCTTGAACGCTGTGTCGGTCGGCGAAGCGCGATTGCTTACCATCTCGGTTGCAGTCGGAAGTTGGGCGCCAGTCGCGGCAGAGTTGTGAATGAGTACTTTCGTTATACGTGGTCCGGATGGCGGCCATGATTCACGCGCAATCGTCCCGCGTCGAATGTTAGCAAAGATCTCTTTGGCGAAGGACCGGAAAGATGGACATGAAGTCAGGGGGCCCGTGGTCTCTCATCCTAGCCGTTTTGATGTTTGTGCTGTCCACTGTTAGAGGTGAGAATTTTGCATCTGCATATCTCTTCATTTAGCTACAAAAAAGATAAAAAAAAAGGGGGTTGTCATGGTACTTAGTTTTTTTACGTTCTCATTGGGGTTCTCATAGAGGTTAAACATTTTAAATTCTTTTTCGAAAAATTTATATTTTAAAACTAAGTTTTTCTATAAAATACTAAAATTCTAGTTTTATATTACTGTCATTAAGATTTCAAATGGTCATTAATCGTTCAATATTAACTTTGGCATTGTTAACTGAAATGCGTGTTATAATTAAAACTTTAAAGAGATATTAGATATGTTCCGTATGATTATAGTAAATTTTATAGTGCGCATTAATAGAATCGTTAGATGCAAGAAAATGTTATTACAAAAATTTTATCTGCCTTGAGATTCTTAGAATATTTTCTTTGTTTGAAGGAGATCGTTTTCGTCATACACCAATCATACAGATATTTAATTTGCTTCATATTTTGCTTTGAAAGAATATATGGAATAACTAAGTAAGTTAGAATTAAGGCATGCCAAACAGTTTTAAAAATGTGTTATGAATAAAATGTATAAATATATTTGATGATAATTCATATTGCAATTTTTATAAACATTCTTAAAACTTAAAAAAATGCCTTATGAATTTTTAGTACATAATTGTTCGGCATTTTTAAGGGTATTTAACGGGCTATAAATATTTAATTTTGTCAAATTAATTTGACTTCGAAAATTCTTCTACTTTACTCTAATGTTTTTTTATATCAGTTCATTAATTCTTTGCGAGGAAAAAAAAAAAAAAAATCAGAAATATTAAACATTTTGGTACTGTTCTTAAAGCAATTAATTTTATTTTTCATTGTTATATTACATTCTCCAAAATATTTAATATGCATAATGTTTACTTTCTGTTACTATATTTTTTACAAAAATTAGATTTATGATAAATTTATAGGAGTAAAAATGCGATTTGCGATACGTATTTTTTTCTTAATATCTGATCGTTAAATAGTTTTTGTTCATTCCGAGATCTACGTTATTTAAATTAAAAATTTTAACTTAATTTAAATTCTTAGATTTAATTAAAGTTGTTTTACTGTTTAAATAAAATTGCTGTAGTTTCATGCATTAATTTTATTTGAAGTTTATGTTGTTAGCATTACAAGTTCCATCAGTCTAATATTATTTATACATAATGTTGTATGTGCACAAACTTTTATGCATCATTGCAGACTGCGTGGCTTCATAGCAGAATTTCAACTTAATTTAAATTGACTTCGATATGTTAAATGTTTTAAACAAGAAGAAGGAAAAAAATCCATATTTATGAAGCAAATGATCAAGGTTAGGTCACTTGTTAACTGTAACACTAAAGGCCTGTGAGAATTTTGTTTATATAAATATTATCGGCAATGTATGAAACACCGGCATTCTATAGAATATGTAAGCATTTTATAGAATGCCTGGCGTGTTCAGGCAAAGTATTAAATATGAATTATTATATATAGTCTTTGGTTAGGCGTTGTATATAATACATAGTCATTTTATAGAATGACACTGTTATTTAAACAAATTATGTAAATAATCACAGTAAGGCTATTATTTAAAAGCCATGCATTCCTTAAAAATGCAAATGATATCTTGAAAAAATTAGAAAAGAGTGCTATTAAAAAACTTTTATTCAAAATATATGTGAAGAATAATGAAAATTGCACGAAACGAAATTTATGCCTTTCCTATTAAAGAAAACAATGCGTAAATTATGTAATGAATGTACCAAATGTATGGATTATGTATGAATTTGTAAAATGTGTGTATAGTTCGAAACTAATCGGAGATGTATTTCGTTCTTTGCCAGTTTACCATTTGCAATTTTATAGAATGCCATTCTAGGTAGTGTATGAAATATTATCGTTTCATGCATTGCGAGCCAGTTTTCTGCATTCTATAGAATGCCAGCTTTCATACATTGCCGGTAACATACAAATTGCTTATCTTCTTATAAGTAATACGAGAAGAATTTCAAGTCTTCAGATCATTGTTAAAAACTGCAGAATTTTTTTTTTTACATGGATCATATTTGATTCCTCTAAGAATAATTTTAAGTGAAGAGTTCTGAGTTAAAAAAAATTTGTTATTTCCATAAATGAGGAATTTTTAATGTTCTTTTATATAAATAAATTAAACGTTATTAGATATTAAATACGTGAAGTAACTTGCTTCATATAATTTTAATGCAGTGACTGGTTGAAATTTGTTTTTCCCTAGTTTGCAAACGATTTTATGATTATATGATGTTGATATATGTTGCTACTATTTCAAGTGTTTTGTTTATTACTGCACAACGGTAGCATGTTAGCATCAACCATTTTCTGATCTTTCTACTGCTATTCACAAAATATCTGAGACAGCATTTTATTTACGGTAAATAAAACTAGTTTCTTTGTAGCACTTGTATGAACTAAAATATTTGCTTTTTTACAAAGATAAGTGTACTAGCCACTCTGCTAGCCATATTTTTCTTCAATGTTCCTTGACAAGTCCATGTTTCTTGATACTTTTTAGACATTCTTATTATTGTTGCATAATTTTTTTACCTCTTGTTATGAAATTTAAGGTGTTCATCATACTCAATATTTATCATTTTCCTTATCTAAGCAAGTCTACTCATGTTCAGGTTATATTTTATTCATTAATTTCTTCTCTTATCTCTCTACCTAATTTCAACCTACGTGTTTTAGTTTTATTTATTTTTATCTTGTCAGTTTTACTTATTGAAGTGATGTATTGGTTTAGAGATAAATATCATCTAAACAATTTTTGTTGTGTACACCACATGACTTCCATGTACGGAATATTAAATTATACGCATTTTTTCCTGCCTTTCATTTAAATTTATTTCCTCGAATTTCATATATTTCTCATTCAATTAATTGAGTTCTCACTTCGCGAAAAGGCAAAAATACATAAAAACTCAAAATATCTATATTAAAAATGGAAAGATATAGAAAAACATAAAACACCAAATACAGTTAAAACAATTTTAAAAAATTTTTTTACAATTAAAATTACAGTTTCTAATCAAAAACAAGTAATTCGGCCAGCAGAGAAGAAGGCAGATTTTTAGGTTCACAAAACTGGAAAGTTTACGTTTGGGTTCACACGGCAAAAAGGATACTGATGGAGTAGAAACTAATTTCCTCGAATTTCATATATTTCTCATTCAATTAATTGAGTTCTCACTTCGCGAAAAGGCAAAAATACATAAAAACTCAAAATATTCTATTAAAATTGAAGATAGATATAGAAAACATTAAACACCAATACAGTTTTAAAACAATTTAAAAATTTTTTACAATTAAAAATTACAGTTCTAATCAAAAACAAGTAATTCGGCCAGCAGAGAAGAAGGCAGATTTTTAGGTTCACAAAACTGGAAAGTTTACGTTTGGGTTCACACGGCAAAAAGGATACTGATGGAGTAGAAACTAATTTGAATTTGTTGTGTTCGCTATGCCGAGTCAATATATAGGATAATTTAATAACTTAAATGAAAATTCCGGAATGGATTAACCATAATTTAATTCGCAAAAATAAAAGAAGACGTTACTTTGTTGTTGAGAAGCTTAGTTTCTCAAGATTGGCTACAAATCCACTATTCTGCTAAGTTTTAAATGTAAACAAATATGGCTGTTGTGGTAAAAAATCAGGCTTAGCCGCACTTAAACAACATATAAATTGTTGGTAATTCTACAACTATAACATGCAGCAGAGCTAAAGGTATAAAAACCTAACCGGAAGATAAGAACAACATAATTCAACCATTTTTAAACCACAAAGTGCACAATTTACAAACTTATAAGAGTAAAGAAACTGAGAATCACTGAGCCGGGTATAAGAGTGGATATATATATATAAATATATTTATATACGTTTGGTGCTGCCGATGGCAACCAAAATACGAGGTGCACATCTACGTGTTATAGCAGTCCTATATACAAAATTTCAACGTTCTGAGGCTACTCGTTTTTGAGTTATGCGAGATACTTACGTACGTACAGACACCACGAAAAATTTTCTTCAGAATTCATTTTAAAGCAGTTTTATAATTTTTTTGGGGAAAAGAGTCCATTATTCTGTTCTTACTTACAGATGTCATGCAAAAAACATCGTTAAATTGCATTCGATAGCGGTCAAAATGTATATTTTCGTTGAAATATTATACCCGAAATTTTTCGCGATTAAAATACTGCCTTTTTACTTCGTACAAGGAAGTAAAAAAATGGCTGATTATTTGCTTACGTGAAGTTTAAAGAATTTTCAGTTCTGAAATACGATTTTATGTAAAAATTATTATTATTATTATTTTTTTTTTTCTAATCGAAGAATCTGTTTTTCACTGGCTGCTTAGTCATCGCTCTATTCTAAACTTCCCCTTGTCGAAATTCCAAAGCAGCAATTTCCCAATACATATGTTTATTATTATACATCGAAACTGGCCAATCCGTTGATGAATGAATGCTTTCGAGTCGACCACGAACTATCTGTTACAATATCCGATTATTATTTTATTCTTTTCTCGCTCACGAGTATAGATTGTTCATTATTAATATATATCTAAACATTTTCGCCGAATCGTAGATTAGATAATCTGCTTTTTGATACGCCAGATAATTTTAATTACGTGTCTTGATTTCTGTTTGAACAACTAAATTTAATGAAGTATTTTTTAACTTCGTTTTGCTTCTAGTATGTATTCTGGTGGAAATACTTGGCAAAGTAACAGTAATGTGACTGGATAATTAATAAATCAGCATTATCAATTATCCAGTCAAATTGTTGTTACTTTAAAGTTCTGATGAGAAAGGTTTCACATAGTTCTACTATTAATTATCCAGTCAAATGCATTTAACTCATTCTAAATTACGATTTGATCCTGAATCCATGGCACTTGCTTCTGCACCTCAGCCTGCTGCTTCTCTTCTTTCTGCAAAGTTAACCAAAGTGTAAAA